CCTAGTCTGTTCAGATAGAACATGGCAGTTGTACTGCTGGTCAGGATCTGGACTGATAAGCCCCTGATGAGAGGAAGAAAAGCACCACATGCTTTGTGAATTGCCTGGAGCCTGAGGACATTGATATGAAGATTAGCTTCCTGCTCTGTCCATAATGCTTGGGTTCACGAGCCCTCTAGACTGGCATCCCACCCAATGGAAGAGGCATCAGCTACAACTGGCTTATTTGGGAGAGGACAGGAGAACGGAACACCTGCATATACACGAGAACAAATTAATGGGAGACAAAGTAGCCTCCTGGGGCAACACTGGTTCTTCCAATAAAAGATAATCCTATGGGAGATGTTGGTCAGGAGGGATAACTTATGCTTGCACCTCTAACGTATGAGGATCTGGAGGCTGTCTCAAAGCAGGATCTGGAGACCTTCTCCTCAAGTGAGGAGCAAAATGTGATGGGGAGATTCTGGGCACCTCCCAGGTATTCCACAGGGGCCTATAAGGGAGAGTACAGCGCATAGGTGGCCTGTAAGCATCGGGCAATGACAATCTGTCTCTGCTGGAGGATTCCCATCCAGACCTGAAAGGCCTTCGGAATAGTCAGTAGTCAAAGGAGGTGCTCAACCTGATGGGGCTACTAGACGCTGAAATTTGTCTGAAGCCCAGTGTGAAGAAAGCAATGTTGGTGCTGACAACATTATGGTGATCAGTACTGCAAAGGTTTCTTGGCACACAGATGGTCTCACATCTATGTCTGGTAACACAGATGGAACAGAGGAATAAACTGAAGTCAGGCCCCTCTATGACAGTGGTCCTAGTATCGGAGCCATAGGTGCTGAAGTTGAGGGAGCAACAGATTCCAGATTCGAATGGTGTCTCAGTACTAATGTGGAGTGTGACTCTATAGCAGACAGTGCCAAGGTAGAGTCCTTGGTTTGTCTTGGGACCATCATTAGTATAAACTAATGGCAATCTTTGCCCTGGTGCCGAAGTAAAGAGGCCAAGGGCAGCAGCCATCTAGTAGGGTCTTGCATGAATGGTGAATTGGGGGAAGACAGCAAAGCAGTTCTTTCACCGACTGATATACCTGCGGTGTGATAGGTACCAAGATAGATGGTGGCTTGATGTCCATCGGTGCCGGACTTTATGGCTGTTGCATGGATGCTTTTGGAGTCAATGATATGACACTAGGATCCTCCTGCCCCATTACAAGGGAGACCTGAGATGACAACCCAGTTCTAGCCTGGACACCTGGTGAGCCACCATGCTGTTCAGAGCCTCTCTTTGAGAAGGAGGATAAACCTCACCTAGCCCAAATGGCTTCAGTCAGTTTTATGGGTCCTTTTGCGTGGAACTCCAGAGCAAGAAGATTGAACTCTCCTTCTCCTTGGAAAGGAGTCAGAGTCCAAAGGCCTGTCCGAAGCTTCCCTAGGGTTAGTGGTTCAATAAATAGGATGATCAGGCGTTGGTCCTGGTGCTGAGGCAGGCCTTATGGCCTGTTCCATGAGGTGTTGCTTGAGGCACAGCTTTCCAGAAATCTGTGTACACTTTTAGAAGGTGCGACAGATGCAACACCATTCAATGTGTCTCTCATCAAGAGGCAATAAACAGAGTTTGTGGGGGTCAGTATTAAGTATAGATAGTGCACATGATGTGGGTCGCATCTACACAACACACAGAGAGCTGTATATGCGGCTCACAATGGTAAATATATTAAGAACCACTGATTTAGGCTAATGTCAGGAAAATCTTGCTGAAAGTGAGATCCAATAGGTGTGCAGTAGCCTTCCACATCTCTGGGGACTTTTAAAATTTTACTGGACAAAACACTAGAAAGTTTGCAATTGGGAACAACCTTATAAGGTAAGGATTGGATGAGCTAATCCAAAGTTTTCAAACTATGGTCTGTGGACCACTGGTGGTCCATGAACAGCTGATTGGTCAAATGATGGCAACTGTTTCCAGCTGCTATGCTGCATTATAAGACAGCTAAAGATATATATTAAATACTTTCCTAACATTACTTTTCCATGTTCTTATGTAAGCAGTGACTGTAGCTGTCACAGTGGTATTGCACAGTTGTGAACAGGAGAGGAAGTGGTCAACGCAACAAATACTTTATGTTAAAATATGATCCACATTATGAAAGTGTTTCAGAATCCCTGAAATAATAGCTCTTTTCATCTCTAATATTTATGATCCTCTGGATTTCTGGAATCCTTCCACTGACAAATTTTAAGCAGTCCAAAATATAAAGTTATTAGGTGATACAATTTGAAATTGTGCAGAATAGACTGCTTAAAGTGAGGAATCTTCAATCTACTCCAAATAATACATTGGCCCTTTTTGTAAAGCACTTACAGTAGAACCTCAGAGTTACGAACACCAGTGTTAAGAACTGACTGATCAACCACACACCCATTTGGAACCGGAAGTATACAATCAGCCAGCAGAGACAAAAAAAACAAACAAACTAAAAAGACAAATACTGGGCAGTACTGTGTTAAATGTAAACTACTAAAAAATAAAGGGAAAGTTAAAAAAAAAAAGATTTGACAAGGTAAGGAAACTGTTTCTGTGCTTGTTTCATTTAAATTAAGATGGCTAAAAGCAGCTTTTTTCTTCTGCATAGTAAAGTTTCAAAGCTGTATTAAGTCAATGTTCAGTTGTAAATTGTTGAAAAAACAACCATAACATTTTGTTTAGAATTATGAACATTTCAGAGTTACAAACAACCTCCATTCCCAAGGTGTTCATAACTCTCAGGTTCTACTGTACCACTGTCTTTAGTTTAATTAGCATGGGTGAATTGAAAAGAATATTATTCCATGTAACGACAAAGGGCCAGATTTTCAAAGATGTTTAGGCACCTAAAGATATAGTTAGACACCTTGCTGAATTTTCAAAAGCGCTTGAGCAGGTTAGGTGCCTGATTTCAATGGGAGCTAGGGAATTATTCTGTTTAGGCACTTTTGAAAATCCCAGTAGACATTTATCTACATCTTTAGGTGCCTAAAAGCCTTTGAAAATCTGGCCCCAAAAGGTCCTTAACTATAGAAGGGGAAAAAACAGCATTCTTTCTTTCTATTTTAAAAAGCACTGATTCATAAAGCTTAAGATGCTTTTATAATAATTTTAAATACACCAACCCAGGGATGAATATCCCAAACAAAAGGACATTTTCGCCGAATCAAGCTCTCCCCACAGAATCATTCTACAAATTACAAATCAAAACCCATACCGAGCCAAAACATTCCTCAATTTAGCCCTTCCCCAAAAACCAAACAGACCAGCCTTGCAGCATGCCCTAGAAATCAGCAAATTCAGAATATGGCAGGCCAAATGGAGTAGTGAATTCCACAGTTGAGGAACCCACACAAGAATTCTCTGCCAGCATTATCTTGTCTTTGAAAGCCCCGGGGGGTGGGGTGGGGGGAAGAAGAGGGTGAGGCGGGCCGGACGAATAACACACGAGGACCTCCGCTGATTGCAGTTGCTGTGGTATCACAAGTAGATATTGATCTCTCCCATGAGCAAGTCCCAAATCATTCAGGACTTTATTGTCAAAGCTGACACCTTAAATTCCACTTTGAAACTAATCAGAAGGCAGCAGAGACTATGAGTGCAGGTGAACAGCATAGTGATGGGCACAGTACAGGAACCAAAACAGAATAGGATATAGTATGTGTAAAGTGCTGTCCACTTGAAGCACCACTTAGCCTGAAGTCACATTCTGCATTAATTTACATTTCCAAGTGATTTTAAGATGTAGCACACATTTCATTAGTCTTATCTCACAATGGCAAAGGCCTACATAACTCCAACAAGATCTGTATCTGAAAGAAAAGATCGCATCCTTGTTGATACAAGGGGATCGAAACCAGCAGTATTAGTCACTGATACTGTCTGCACATCCAAATATTCCTTAGGATTGAACATGAACCCCAAATTGTGAACCTATGGGCTCGTCTACACTGGCACTTTACAGCGCTGCAACTTTCTTGCTCGGGGGTGTAACCCTCCCCCGAGTGCTGAAAGTTTCAATACCGTAACGTGCCAGTGTAGACAGTGCCCCAGCACTGGGACCTGCCCTCCCAGCGCTGGTAGCTAAGCCCCTTGTGGACGTGGATTTTTTAGAGCGCTATGCTGTGACTACACAAGCCATGTTAAAGCGCTCCCGGGGCAGCACTTTAACATTGCCAGTGAAGACGTGCCCTTAATAACAAGCAGTGGTTGCACTCCCTCAGTCCAGGGGCTGATGTAATCTCCACCATTTCTTCCAGTTGCTTTCCCCCACCAACAAACTTTACTTAGTCTTGTCAGGGCTGAGCTCTCAAAGCCCCAGTCTCTGTCAGGAACTGGGTTAATTGCATCAGCTGGGACCGATGAAAGAGAGTTATAGAGCTTGGTATTAAATATTTTAACCTAATCATATAATATGCAAGCTAAATGTTGACCTCAGAAAGTGACACACAAAATTGCTCTGATATTTGTCTCCAGTAACTGAGTAGGACTAAAACAACTACGTCATTTAAATGAAACATTTAATTTTTTTCTCTTTTTGTCTTAAGTGTAAGAAGAAAAAGAAAAACTCCTTTGTTGCTATCTATGTACATTTATAAGTCTCATTGTAATGTGTTACTGTATTTACCAGTGTGCAGATAAAACAGTCTGGGCTCTCCTGTTTGACGTTTTATGGCTTCTTTGTGAATGGTATCCCTAAAAATGTAGATAACTTTCAGTAAAGGTTACCACTTAAACCAATCTGTGTGCTAACAAAGACAGACCAAAGGTTCCAAAACAGCTTCTGATACAGCAAAGTTGTGCACTGATATGATAGTCACATAAAGCCAAATCAGATCTTAAAATGACCACAGTTCCAACATTCTGTAAAGGTTTCAGAGTAGCAGCCGTGCTAGTCTGTATTCGCAAAAAGAAAAGGAGTACTAGTGGCACCTTAGAGACCTTAGAGAGTCTCTAAGGTGCCACTAGTACTCCTTTTCTTTTTGCAACATTCTGTAAAGCTACTTCTACAGAAAAATTCTGCCACCTTGTTCTCAAAATTCTTCACTTGCAGTCCATGCTGGGACAGGAGACTCCGCACTGAAGAGTTTTCTCTTGTTCTCCGCAGTGCTGCTCCTTAGTTGAGACAAGAAATCCCAACTGCACAAAGAAAAGCACAACTGACCCAAATATGTAAATAAACAAAGCATTTATCTGGCCTGTGCTCCAGCAGAGCACTTTAGCTTCACATTACCCCAATGCCTGCCTCTAGCACACAACCCCGCTGTTTTATTCAGTTCTTCTTTTACTCCAGTCTTTCCAACTGTGGCACACAGAGTAGCATGTATGTACATTCTTTGCTGTTCGGTCAACAGGGAAACAATAAAAACAGATCAGAAAGGATTCAATAGCTAGAAGGTTTAACGCTTCACGTACACTTGAAATTCAACCTGAAGAAATGCCAACTAATATATTTGGGGAAAACAAATCTAAAACCTAGCTCGTCAATGGGAGAGGGACACGAGCAGGAATGCTCAGAGACTATGGGGAATAGTCAACAGCAAAATAGGTATAAGCTTGCTACATGTGTAAAGGGCTTGTATCACCATTCATACCACTAGTGGAAATACCCAGGGGAGAGGCCCTGTGGAGAAGAAAACTCCACAAGGCTCTCCTGGTGGAGTTTCCTCCATTCCACAAGGGAAGCAACGCTACCCCCAACCCATCTCCAGGATAAGCAGTTGTTCTGTCCCCTGAACCTAACAGATTGAGTGAGATTTGCAGAAAGCAATTACCTCCTATGGATTCTGTCTGCATGGAGTACTTGTGCCTTTGCACTAGCTCTGGGGCCCCTGGCGCTCCTTAGCAGGGCTCCCAAAGGAGCCACATTACCAGGGCTTTTCCTGCCTGTTGCAGCTCTGGGGACACCCTTAATAGGGGCTTTTGATGCTGAGAAGCAAGCTCCAGAAAAACTATTATGCAGCCCAGAGTTGTAAAATAGGTAATACAGCCATGATGCCTACAAGAATTCAGACAGCTACTGATGACTAGGTTGAGCAGCAGTTGTGGACAGCTGATTTTATTTATTTATTTAAAAACCACCACCACCACCACCACTCAAATGATTTCGAACCTTCAAGTTGAGCACACAGCAAGCCTATGTACCAGCCTTAGCTTATGACTGTTAACCTTCTTTTCTCTCCTCCAGTCCTCCCATTATTTATCACACTCATTGGTTGCAACTTGTCTTAAATTAGATTGTAATCTCTTTGGAGCAGGAACCATGCCTTCCTGTGTGTTGTGCCTCTAGCACAGTCAGGTCCTGACTCTCACTGAGGCCTCTGGGCATCACTGCAATACAAATAATAAACAGTTATAATAAATGTTATCTGTTCTGCATAGTCTCCAACCTTTTCCCTGTGTAGCTCCTCACCATATGCAAAGATCTGCATAGGTTCCTAGGGATTGTTTTACAGAGGAGATTGTTCTCTGCATGTTAGGGAAGATCTTCATGTGGAAATCTCTCTGTATCTAGGGATCAGCCTGTGACTATCTGGGCCAATATATTTTGGGCTGCTTACACAAAGGCATCAAGTCCCAAAACAGGAAGGTAAAAATCCCTTTTTAAATGTCTCTAATGAAACCACTTTTAGAGTATTACTGTGAACTCAATTCTGAGCAGCAGAAAGAAGAAACACACAGAAAAGCAAGGATTTGCAGGTCAGGCTTATGAGGGAAGACTCTAAGAGTAAGAGAGCTAGGGGCTGAATCATGGCCTTGGAGTGTCTGCAGTGGACCCCCGATGGAGGACTGTAGCTTGGGTGACTCCTGAAGAGGAATGCCCCCCATAGGCATTTGCCCAACTCTTGTCCATCTCCAGGAGTGGAGTCCATGACTGCACATCATCAGGCTCAGGAGGAACCTAATACAGATGGCTATATATTCTTAACAGAAACAGAAACAAGAAATTTAGATTTTTATTTTAAATTAAAACTCAGTTTCAGAATATTGCAAAATCGAGCCTAATTTGAGAATTACTGATTTTATGCATGTCCACAATTTTCAACTGTTCCTTGTTTTGTACGAAAATCTTATGAGATGCCCACTGAGCCTGCCCAGAAATGACATTTCAGTTGCTTATAACCTTTTATTTTAAAAATTCTCCGTTAGTGACCACAAATTTAAGAGACCACACCCTCCACAAGGATGTCCATAGCAAGCTTCAAACTTTAACTCTGTTCAGAAAAGTAGTAATTAGAACAATGAGTTTATGAGCCATGGTGATTTAGTGACTCCCAATCAAGGAACACCTCCTTTTGTCATTTCAGTCCTGCTCACGACAGAGGTTCCCTAGACATGAACCCATCTCAGAGAATAACCCCTTGTGTCACTGGGACTTAGCATCATGTTAAAGAGCTCGAAATCCCATTTACATCCATTTCTTTTGGCTGGGGAGAGTGGAAGTTTTGAAGGTTTCAAACTGGTTAATTCTTGGTTTGGCTTGGTTTGGCCTTTCCTCCCTGAGTAAACTTTATATTTTCTCAGGAGGGTCTAATGCTTACTGATGTGTGCTTTAAAAAAAGTGATCACTGGTAGTCAAATGCCAGCCTCTTTACAAAAATGTGGAAGGGAAAGAGGAAGTAGTATACTTATGACTCCTTTCCTGTTTGATAGTTTATCCTTTATCTAAAAGGTACCAAGGGAGGTGCTGATGGTTGTGAAATCCCATCATCATTTTAAGATTCATGAGGGAGCATAGTCTAAAATGAAGGCTTTATCTACACGAGAAAATTGCACCTATTTAACTTCAATTGCTTTTCAAACAGATTTAGTTAAACTGGTGCAACCTGCGTGGACCTTCTTATTTAGGTTTAAGAGTGGCTCATTTTGGTTTACCTTCAAAAAAGGTAGGTACCTACCTACCTCAGTTTTAGGCACATTCAATATGGCACTCAGCAATAAAGTAAAATATAGCAGCCAGACTTTTATCTGGGGTGGATGAACTGGTACAGAAAAGACAAAAACTAATCCAAATTTTCATCCAAACTTCAAACTGACCATTTTGATATTTCAAAAATGTTAGTTACAGATGTTTTATCATTTTTTTCACCCCTCTGCACTCCCTGTTTACAGCTATCTGAGAGAACCAGAAGTGCTGAAACAGCAAAGATAAGCCTGTTCTCATGAGCTTTGCAGACCAAAGAGATGTAACGTTTGAATACGCTGTACTTTGAGGTGGATATACAAGCTAAATTTTCTGAGGTTTACCCACCATTCCTGTACTTTTTATACCTTTGTAAATTATCCCAAGCTTGCTTTGCCTCACCCCTGTCTCTTTTGCTTGCTGCAAGACCAATAAAAGCTGTGTCTCTTTATAAACAGAAAGTCAGCCTGGCCAGTCTCCTAGGGAAAACATGCTGCTCCTGCTGTCAACAGTCCCAGGTTGTAGATAACTTCCTGCAAGTGAATTTTTTTGGAGAAAAAGAGAGGAAGGTTACTTACTGGTAACTGTTGTTTAAGAGTTATTCTGTGCATTCATATTTAAGGGATTGGTACCCCGGCGATAAGCTCACAGAATCACTATTAGTGGGTATCTAACAAGCAGTTCCATCCAAGATGGAAGTTGGGCTGAGGAGTTGTGAGATGAACAGAGGCTGAAGCATTGAATTCCAAAACCTCAGCATTTGAACCGGAGGTTAAGTCTAAGGGGTAGTGCTTAATGAAGGTGGGAATTAAACTTCAAGTCTCTGCTCTGCAAGTCTCACCAATGGGCCTAAAGACAGGCCACAGAAGTGTCCATAGCTCTAGTCGTGTAAGCCTCAATTCTTGTTGGTAAGGGATCCTAGATACAGAATAGCACAACCAAATGCACAAAATAATCTATTTGGCTAATCTGTGAGTGGAGATCTCTGCATTTTACATTTCTCCCCATACACCACAAACAACCTACTGGACTTTTGGGAGGGCTTATATCTCTTTAGATAAAAACAAATACATTCTTCACATCTAAGATGCGGAGACAGGTCTCCTCGAGGTGTGAGTGCAAGGTTGGGAAGAAGACCAGGAGGGAGATAGACTGATTAATATGAAAGTCCATCACACTTTAGGAATACATTTTGGGTTGGCATGTGTCAAGGTTCCTTCCTCACTCTGAACTCTAGGGTACAGATGTGGGGACCTGCATGAAAACCCCCCTAAGCTTATTTTTACCAGCTTAGGTTAAAACTTCCCCAAGGTACAAACTATTTTACCTTTTGTCCCTGGACTTTATTGCTGCCACCACCAAGCGTCTAACAAATATATAACAGGGAAAGAGCCCGCTCGGAAACGTCTTTCCCCCCAAAATCCTCCCAAACCCTACACCCCCTTTCCTGGGGAAGGCTTGATAAAAATCCTCACCAATTTGCATAGGTGAACACAGACTGAAACCTTTGGATCTTAAGAACAAGGAAAAAGCAATTAGGTTCTTAAAAGAAGAATTTTAATTGAAGAAAACGTAAAAGAATCACCTCTGTAAAATCAGGATGGTAAATACCTTACAGGGTAATCAGATTCAAAACATAGAGAATCCCTCTAGGCAAAACCTTAAGTTACAAAAAGACACAAAAAACGGAATATACATTCCATTCAGCACAACTTATTTTATCAACCATTTAAACAAAACAGAATCTAACGCATATCTAACTACATTGCTTATTAACCCTTTACAGGAGTTCTGACCTGCATTCCTGCTCTGGGAAAAGCAACACACAGACCGAGAGAGCCTTTGTTTCTCCCCCGCTCCAGCTTTGAAAGTATCTTGTCTCCACATTGGTCATTTTGGTCAGGTGCCAGCGAGATTATCCTAGTTTCTTAACCCTTTACAGGTGCAAGGGTTTTTCCTCTGGCCAGGAGGGATTTAAAGGTGTTTACCCTTCCCTTTATGTTTATGACAGCATGTAAGAACACTTGGCTCTTAGGGTAACACCACCATCAGAGCTTGCAACTCACTGATGCTCCTGGCAGCAATGATAACTATAAGGAAAGTTGTGTGAGACAGGTAATCCAAAGAGCAATCCACAGGAAGCTCAAAGGATGGCTCCATAAACTTTGTTAGCAGCAAATTCAAGTCCCAAGCAGGAGTAGGCTTATAAGGGGAAAAGCATGGGTAAAATCTTTAAAGCTGTATGAAACTGTAGAGCGGGGAAAAAACAGCAGACAGGTAAAAATATGCAGAAAATGCAGACGGATGAATTTTCAGGGATGCTATGGACAGGCCAGCTTCTTTGCAATATAATAATAAAAATCAACGGGAATAGGCAAGAATTCTGGAGCAACCCCTTTAGCCACTGTCCAAGCTGAGAATGTCGTCCATTTGATGGTACTTTGGAGTTTACAATTGATCTGACACTGCTACTATTCAGTCCAGTCTTTTCCCCAAAGAAGTCAACAAGTGTTTTGCTGTGGCAAGCCCTGACGTTCTGGAGGAAGATTTCATGAGACGCTATCAGATGCATTGCTGAAGATGAGTCAAGACATGTTCTAGCCACTAATTTTATAATTAGATTTTTTAAAAACTAGTCAATTTTGCTGTTCTTTATCAGCTCATTCTGCTTATGGCTGGATTGTAACTACTGGATTGTACCTGGCCTGGACAGAAGTTGCCAAGTGCCTTCCTGCCAATTCTTTTTTTTTTTTTTTTGCGGGGGGTGGACGCAGGGCTGGCAGGTGGGGGCAGACACAGGGATGTTAATGCTCAGGTTTAGCAATACTGGTGGTAACGCTGCAGAGACGGATGGAGCCTGGGATGCCCTAGATCTAGCAGGGCCCAGTGTGAGGTCATGGATGCCGGGCCCTCCTCTCCCACTCAGCATCCCCACAGCGTCAGAGAGCGATGAGCGGCCAAAACTGGGCGAGGAGCTGACGCCCCAAAGCAGCCACAGGCCATCGCCCCCTACGCAGCAGCAAAGGCTGTCCACGTGATTTCCCGTGGATTCCCACCGTCATAGGCAGAAGCCTTGTGCTCTAGCCTAAGGCTTGCATCCAGAACGCGTGCGCGGAACCAGGGCGAGCACCGAATCGTCGATCCAGCTGGGCGGACTCGAGCCTTTCCTTCAGCGTGCACGCTCGGAAGTGCGCAGCTCCTGCGGCGAGCGCCGAATCATCGCCCCTCAACGTTACCGTTGGTGCGGAGAGCTGGGCGGGGCCCGCTCCCATGAACACCTAGGGGCGGGGCCGGGCCGGGCTGGGGCGGGAAGGGGGCCGGGCTCTCAGGGAGCGAGGTGGTGCTTCACCAACCAAAACAACAACAATCCCCAGCAGCCCCCGCGCCGCCGCCAACACCGAGGGGGCAGAGCGGAGCCCGAGGGGGGAGCGCGGAGCCGCCGCCGCCATGAAGCTCCGGGTCCGGCTGCATAAGCGGACGGCCCCGCTCGAGATGCAGGGGGCGGAGCCAACGCTGGGGGAGCTGCGCGCGCAGCTGTGCCAGGCCCTGCTGCCCACTTGGGGCTACAGGTAACGCCGGGGGCGCGGTCACTCCTAGGCCGGCGGGTAACACCCGGCTACGACCGCGCAGCGCAGGGGGGAGGGGCCGTGCCCCTGACCCAGCCATCTTGCCCCGGGCTGCGGGGAACTTGCTGCCCCCGGGGGCGGGCAGTGCTGGGGGGCGGGCGGGGCTTCCCCACAGGTGCCCGGTGCTGCTGGACACCGCGCTCCCCCCCCCCCCACCCCGGGCAGCGTCCCGACGGCGAGGGTGACCGTTGAGGCCGCGGGCGCCCGGCCCGGCTGCAGCGTTTCCAGGCCTCGGGTTTTTACCCCGAGTCTCCCGGTAGCTCTTGGCTCCCGTAGAGCCCGCGGGGGCGCTGGGCCGCTGCTGGCGGCACAATCGCGCTTCTAGCCCGCCTGGCCGCGGAGAAAAGCCCGGCAAGAGGCGCAGCGCGTGCCAAGGGCACGAGCCCGCGCAGCGGCCGGGCCCCCCCCCGAACGGCTCAGGCACGCGCATGGTTCTGGGGGCCCTGGCTGTGGCCAGGCCTCGGGCCGCAGCTACCCTAGCTGGGGTCCCGCCGTCCCTCGGCTGAGGCACGGGCCGGGAGATTGCCCCGCTGCTGCGCCCGAGCTGCGGGCACTAGGACTGGTACGTGATCCAGAGCTGTCACTTCCGAACCGTTCACCAAAAAAAAAAAAAAAAATCAGGTGGCAGAAGTAAAAGAGGATAAAACGCCCGGTGTTTATTCGGCGGACTCATCGCTTTCGGTTTTATTTATCCCTCACCACAAAAATGGAAATAAAATGAAAGAGGCTGTAGGGAGTTTGCTACACAAAATGATGTTGGAGAATTTTGCTTCCGGAGTCATGATTATATAAATAGAAAAGTGAAAGTTATTCTCCAACACCCCACTGAAACGCTCAACTCAGGTCTGATGGTACAACATTTATGGACCAAAATTGAACCTTTCTTCTGTGTGACACAAACTAGAATTTGTCTTTTGAGTATGGCTGTATAGCCTTCTTCTAGAGGGGGCTCTGTGTTTCAGCAATCACAAAAAGATTTGTGTGCGAAAGGCTTGTGAGTTTTTTTAAAGGAGAATAAATGCTATTAAGGGATTTTTTAAAATAAAAAATGAGCTGCTTCAGCAGGCTAAGGGCAATAAAATATTTGCATTAATGTTTTTGTGTGTGTGTGTATTTTATATTCATTCTGAAGGATCCCAGAGCGCTTCACAAGCAGTATATATGTATGCTAGCAGCATGCTGCATAACAGCATGGGGAGGGGGAACTTGTCCTAAGACATCCGGACAAACCATTAATCTTATTAAAATGTCATGGAATCTTTGCTGTCTCTGGGAAGACCTTATTTTTCAAGGACTTGCCCAAAGACCCTCACATTGAGCAAGCTAAAGGATATTTGCATAGAAATATTTTCAAGAATTAACTATTTTAAATATACTCTGCCCCAGTAATTCATTTAAAATCTTTGCCCTACAGCTGCTGAAGCTGGTGTTAGTTTTGAGGGCAATTGGCTGCTTCCCAGAATGTATTTATAAGGTACATTGTAGACAGAGGCAGTTACCTGTTTTTCAGAGATGGAGGCTTAAACCTATCCAGGATTTCTAGGTTCTGTGATTTAGTTAGTTAAAACAAACATAACACAAAGAGAGAAAGGTAGAAAAAAATCACTTTAACCTGTATCTTGGTTTTATACTGTGTCCATCATTTATTTTCCCAGTGCTTCTTTGGGCATGTGACTAATAAGACCGGTACTTAGGTTTAACAAAACCATTTAATAATCATACCATACATTTGTGTAATCTGAATGTATGACTTAAACTGATCCCACCAGACATGGCCTTGGAGTTTTTTCTCTTTCTTTGCAGTTCTCATACCCAGTTTGCAATAACATTGAACAACAAAGATGCCCTCACTGGAGACCATGAGACCTTGGCTTCATATGGGATAGTTTCTGGAGATATGATATGTTTGTTACTGGACGAGACCAATGAAGCACCCATATTACCCCCATCCTTATCTTCACCTCCTCCCTCACTGCAGAATAATCACAAACTGTTCACCTTGACCACCAGCCACAGTCAGGCCAGCAGTTCAGAAACAGAAAGGCAGAATGGGCCATGTGAAGACCTTAAAGCTCAGACTGATGCTCAGAAGAGCGATAATATGGTAAGTACTTAAGGACTGAGGTACACGGATCAGGAAATAAGAGGAGGCAGCACACTGATGCTGGTTGCTAGACTGTATAATAGGGAGCGTCCTTGAAGTATTATGGTTCTAAGTGCTAACTTGGTGTTTGGTCAATCACTTATCTGTCTAGTACTGTCTCTATTTATAAGCTATTAAGCCTTATCCATGCCAGAGATGTTAAGGTGTTTCAAACTCCATTTGAGTCCTTTACATATCTCTAGATTTTTGCTAATCAGATTTCTGCAGAAACACACACCCTTTTCAAGGGAGCTAGGAGTGAGTTCTTCTCCCACCTCCACAGCCTCCCTTTAAAAAGCCACTTCTGATACTTGCCACAAGAGTATGTGTTTGTTCCCCCTCCTCCTCTCCTAAGCCCTCAACCGAGCCAGTGTGAAATAATGTCCACTGGAGGAGAGAGCAGTTTTGTAATCAGTTGAAATAATGTCCATGGTTTAAAGAGTTTGTCATGAAGTAAGAATATTCTGCAGGAACAGTTCCCTTTTAAGAAATGTGTCACTTTAGGGTTGGTTCCAACACATGAAACTATATTTTTTAAACACACACAATCCTAAAACACAGAAGTGTAGAGCATCTTGTTACAGTCTTTGTGCCCACCAATGTGAAAACTTGAAAAATAAATCGTAATATAAATTAAGGGGTGAGGGAGGAAATTCTAGAAAAAGTAAAATGTGGGAGAAAATACTGTTCCACCTTTGTGGGAAGCACTGCCCCTACACTTTACTCTTAAAAGACAAGCTCCTCATTTCAGAAAAGTTTGGACATAGTAATCATTTAGTTGTACTTATTTCATGTGTCTAAGATAAAATTTCTTCCCTCCCTTCCAGTAGGCTTTCCTCCCAAAATTTAGGAAAAGGTGGAGAGCAACTTTTCATGTACTCCTTTATATGCCACAAAACTAAAGAAGTGTAAAAATTTGAAAAACAGTTTAAATTGCTTCTTTTGAATTTTATCTCAGGCAGTTTTGAGGGGGCATTTAATCATACTATATGTTATAAAATCTGAATGTCTGACTTTAAGGGTATCTTAGTAGAAGGGAAAGTGTGGAGAAGACCTTTATGGTTTTTGAGGGGGATGCTCTTTTGAGAATTAGATCTAAGGGGCTGGGAATAATTTCATTTACAAAGAAACTTGGGCATTCTGGACCAGTCTTAGTCTTGTCATTTTTGGTCAGCTGCCTTGAATTTTGACAAATGGTGATGCCATACTGTGTAGAGTTGTGCCCCTGTAGCCTGCTCTAAGAATCTTCATGGTGCTTTAATACATTATTTGTAGTACAGTAGTGCGTATAAGCCCATTGTATGTACAACATCTATCACACATAATAGACTCTGATCTGAAGAGTCTGTATTACAAATAGACAAAACAGACAAAAGTAGTAGTAGTATTCCCATTTTACATAGGCACAGAGATTAAGTGATTTGGTGAAGATCACACAGAAAGTCTATGGGAGAGCCAAGAATTGAATCAACTCCAGTGCCCTAACCCCAAGACATTCTATCTCTTGGAGGTTGCTTTGTGTTGTAGTGCAAGAAAGCCCCTCTTACATTTGAGAAAAGTTGTCATTCAAAAGTAGTATCCTTCTAAGCTCCGCATGGCAATTCTGAGTGACTGACCAGTCTGTACCCCCAAATCAGAGCTTCACAATATAGTTGAAAGAAGACTGAAAGGGCTAGCAGGATTATCAATTTAATCCATGTAGGATTAAGTTTCTGAATGCCACCTTGTTTTTATTACTTTCCCTTTAAGGCAGGATCCAGCCTAGAGTTTGCTTCTGGGCTAGTCCCAGATGACGTTGATCTGGAAGAAGGTACAGGTTCTTATCCTTCTGAGCCAATGCTGTGCAGTGAAGCTGTGGATGGAGAAGTGCCACACTCCTTGGAGACCCTCTACCATTCTGCTGAATGTGCCCGTGCCAACGATGCCTTGATAGTTCTGGTACATCTTCTCATGATGGAGACAGGTTATGTACCGCAGGTAAATGCAAAACTGGAAGAGAAGCCTCCCACTTAGTAGGAGAAAAATTGGAATATCTAGAATATTGTTCATGTGTCTGTGCTTATAGATCTACTGTTGATGATTTACATCCCTCTCAGTGGCATGGGCAGCTGAAGTACCAGCTTCCCTAGTTTATCTTGCCAACATGCCTTAATGATGAAAGAGTGGTACAATCTCTAAGAGTGGGACAGTAGTCCAGTCTACATATCTAGTCAATCCTTGGCCTCCCTGCTTAAGTGGGAGGATGTTAGCTACTCATTTTTGGCTATGCAGGGATAATGTTTAAATTCAGTTCCTAGAGTGGAGAATGTATGCATTTATATCATTCTGTATTCAGTTATCAATAACTTTGTGTACTCCACCCTTGCCTCTCTTGGCATTCACAAAGGAAAAATATGCCTTTCATACCAGCATTGTGTATTGACTGCCTGCCTTCTAATTTGGAATAATTGAGTTCCTTTTATATATATGGGAACAGGATTTGTGACAATGGATGTCTTTGTTACAATCTCCCCCTCGCCCCCCATATTTGACAGTTTCATT